ATGCTTAATGAATAGAAAGTAACTTTTTTTGATTACATAGGAACCACCTTAAACTTTTTTTCTTTCTTAGACATACCTTTATATTTTCAAAAATGTCTGAACCTAAAAGTACAGGCATTTATGAAAAATTAAAGGTATGTCTTATAGTCTAACTCAATAAGGTACTTTAAGCGATAAGCGCTTAAAGTACCATATTAAGTTAAGTACCTTATCGATAACCTTACCTAATATACCTGAATTTATATTTTATGTGAAATAATCTTTTTTTTTTCTTTAATAAAGTTCTAACTGTGTGTTTTTGATGTTATGAATACTACATATGTAAGTTGAAAAAAACAACACCTTAGGAGTTGTCCATTAAGTACGTCAACAAAATAGGGGGAGGAGGTTTGAACTTTTTTGACAGTTGTTGACAATGGGGAGGGGGAGGTCAATCAAAGTCGATGTCAACAAATTTTTTTTTTGAGTTATATCGCTTAAATAATAGAAAATTTGTAGCGTAGCTTTCTTGGAGGTGGGGGCGGGGGTAATCAAAAATTGACGTAATTTTAAAAGTGGTCTCTGAAAATTTGACATTTAGTTGACAAGGGGGAGGGAAGGAGGTAAAAATTTAAAAAAAATTGTTGACGTAATTAATGGACAGCCCCTTGTGAGATTGCGTTTTGACAAAAACCAAACAGAGAATTCCCTTTACAGTGTAAAAAGGTTAATGGAGATGACGTTGCAAGCAAAACTGAGAATACTGACTTAGGTAAAGATGAGTTTAGAGTTAGTTATCAAACCTTTTTTATGAAAGTCATTTTTTTTTGCAAAATTGTAGGATGAAAACAACTTTTGTTTTTTATCTATTTTTGTCGTTAATTTGTCAAAAAGTTGTTGGTTCAAAAAAAAACCTTTTCTAATAGTTTTTTTTATTTTATAATCAAATAAGTTATTTGAAACCAAATATAAATACAAATCTAATGTCTATTACATTAATTAAAATGTTGTACATTTTATTTAGACCAGCAATGGTACATTAAAATTAGAAAACCGTCTCATGTCATATTCCAGGTAATGTGATGTACAAATCACACTCCAGAATGCAGCGGAACTTTTAAAGATATTGAAAGTAGCATAGTGTGTTCTTAACTATTATTTGTTGTCATAATTATTATTCTTGCTAAACAAAAATATTTAGAAATTTTTTTCAAATACTTAGAAATATTTTTTTTAATAAAATATGATGTATTTTTAATAACAAAATTTTCTTTCTTTTTTGGTTTTCTTTCCTTAATTATTTTTTTATCAAGGTGGCTAGAGTGACGACACTCTCACTGAAAGAAAAGACTGTGGTATTGTTGACTTTTCGTACCATGAGTCGGAAAAAGACACTTAGACAGGATGAAAGTATAAAAAACCCCAAAGACTATCACTTTTTATGAAGTCGATGGTTGTTTGTTAAAAAAACTGTACTAATTTATTTTCTTTACTCAAATTAGTTGACATTATATTTACTACGTGAAAAATAATAGGTCTTAAATTTTTTTTTTTACAATGTTTTGTTTAGTTCGCAAGAAGCTCCGTTATGAAACAGCATGTAATCTTAAAAAAATGAAAATTCATGCATTAAATAATACATATATATATATATATATATATATATATATATATATGTATATATATATATATATATATATATATATATATATATATATATATAATATAATATATATAATGCATGAAAACATAATAATAAAATGATTTAATGAGAAATTTTTAATAATTATATTATATATTAATTTTTGAAATTTTTTAATAATTATAAAGAAATTTTAAAAATTTAAAAATATTAAAAGAAATTTTTAATAATTATATTATATATTAATTTTATAATTAAATTTTTAATAATTATATCATATATTAACTTTTAATAATTATATTATATATGATTATAAAAAAATTAGTCGAGCTTTTAAGCGACAAATACAAAAAGGTTTTAGCCAATTTAACTCAAGCTAAAAGTAATGAAATAAACGATAAATTAGCTGAGCTCGAAGATCGAAGATGACGTAATAATCTGAAGTTTGTGGGTGTTACAGAAGGTGAGAATGAAAATTGGGAAGAGAGCGAAAATAAAATACAAGAATTAATAAAAGGAAAACTTGGTATCAAAGATAATATAGTAATTAAACGAACACATCGAACGGGGAAAAAAGAATCTAGAGGTTCAAAGAAAAACGGTAGTGAAAAAAATTTTTAAAAAAATATAGTTTTAAAAAATTTTTAAACTATAAAGATAAAAAAGTTATTATGAACAATTACTATAAATCAAATCTCTGAACGATCACATTTATATTAACGAAGATATTAGTGGAAAAAAAAAAAACGGAGATTAGGAAGAAGATTTTGGAAGCAAAAGAGCTGCAAAGCAAAGAGGAAATATGCATGGGCTATTCATAATAAATTAAATGCGCGCGACTTTTGATCAAAATACTTTTATTATCAATAAATAATTTTACAAAAATGGATTCAAACTACTAAAATAATTTGAAATCAAAAGTTTTTAATTATTGTAAAACTAATGAGTTTAAAAATGAAGGAAAATTAGACCAAGTTTTAAATCTTTTTTATAATACAGATGCTCTATAAAGAAACTGCTCCTACTTTTTTATCATCGAAATAAAAGAATTTTTTGAGCGGGACCATATTAGTGTTATTTATTTTAATATTACGAGCTTAAAAAAAAACTTTAAAAACTTTTGTAATGACTAAGAGGAAAACATTTTTAACATAACATGTGAAACAGAAAAGTTGCGCAACTCAGATGACGCTGACTAAAACGCAAATCTCCATCTCTTAGGTTTTAATATGATCTGCTTGCGCGTAAAACTAAAAAGTTAATTTGTAGTTTATTATCAGGCCTGGCATGAGTATTTTTGATGGCGATAAAGAGGTCTTAACAAATGAAATTTTAAACAAAATAACAAAAAAAGTACCTTTTAGTTGTTGCAACCGGCCAACTTCAGGCGTAATTGAAAAATTTAACAAGTTTAAAACAATAATATAACAAGTAAAGGCGTCAACGAAAAAATAAACAAATTACTTAATTGATGATAGAAATTTAGATTGTTTTGAAAACAATATAAACGCATATACTCAAAAAATTTACAATGATTTATTTGAAAATGTAGCAATTCTTTTAAAAAATAAATTAACAAGGGTAACTGCTGCGTCAGCCTCATTAATAGACAATATTATAACAATTATCACCTTAAATAGATTAATTAAAAAAGGTTTCACTTAAAGTGAAAAGTCTTATTGTTGGAGAGGATTTTTAGAGGACACTTTCCTTCAATGTTGCCACAAGGCAAGTCAGACAATAATGATATGCGCCACAAAGGATGTCGTGTTTGTTATGCAAAGGAACTGACCGCCAAACTGACCGCCAAAGGACATCCCTTGAAAACTGTTTTTGTTAGTAATTTCTGTCCATCACAACCCGGGTTACGTCGTGATGAGTGTTTTTAAATTTATCATACTGTTTTGGACTATTCCTAAAAAGATATTATGGATGTTTACTCATACATAAAATGTTTTCTCAAGCCAAATGTGTATATATTTTATTTTAAGGAAATTTTCAATTTGTTGGTGCCCTTACAAAAAGTTAAATATCTTTTGATTAAATTATAAAGTTTGTTGAATTTTTTCTTTGTTTGATTACTACTATAAATGCCCATCTTATTTAATATTAACAACTATATGTTTATGAATTAATCTATTAGTATTTTAAGATTAAATTAAGAAATTATATTGTTAATTCAATATGGTATAATTTCGATCACGTGACTAAAGTTTTTTTTTAAAAAAAAAAAATTTTTTAATTATACGAGAGTCTTTTCTCTAACAAAAAAAAAGGTCTCATTTGTTATATTCTGACAAGTAGTTTTGATTTTATGCCCTTTTAATTGCTCATGATCAAAATTCTTTATTTTACGCTCAGTCATATAGATGTTTTTATTCAGTCGCGAAAGGGTTAATCACTATCGACCAGTTTCTATTCCCCTAGCATATTTAATAGTTCTAGAAAAAGCTTTATATAATAGAATATATAATCCCATGTCTATAAATAATATATTATATCATAACAAATATGGGTTTAAAAAAAATAATTCTGCAGAACATGCAATACTTTAACTAGTTAGAAGTGATTCCTTTGAAACACTACAATACACACTACGTATCTTCATAGACTTATCGAAGGTCTTCGATAATGTAAATCATAAAATTTTTGAAAAAAATTAGAACATAATGGAAACACTGGTAATCTAATTAATAATACTGAACTTAATAGTTGTGCCTTTTCGAGCCTGTTTGACACGATACTCTTGGCAACCATTGCATCCGAGGTTTGACGAGAAAGAGTCTCACCTTTGCTTTACAAGAAAACGTGAGCAAATGTGAAACTTATATCGTAGGTACCTAAACTTCATGTAATGTAATATTAAAACATGCTTAAGCATATATCAAGTTCTACAGTTTGATTTTCACTTAAGAACTGCATTTTTTCAACCTCTTCTTAACTTTTGATCTTTTGCATCTACATCCGTTAAAAACAATTTTTATAATTTCAAATCTTCGACACTCAACGTGTCTGCATAGTCGAGTGGTTAGCGCGCTGGGCTTCAGAACAAAATAGCCGTGGTTCGAGTCCTACTATTTTTATTAAACTATTTATTTTTTTTATTAGACTATTTTTTCAATTTTTTTAAATACAAATTCTAATACTTATAAAGTCTTATAGATATTGTATATAGACAATATATGTAAAGATATTAATCAAAAGTTTGATTCGCGCCTAGCACTGTGACACAGAACTGACTTCGCCAACGAGAGAAAAAAAATAGTTCACAAATTTCAGAATTTTGTTTTTTCGTGAAGTCCTTAAACACTTAGTTTCCAACTTTCTTGACATATTCCAAGTCTCTGAGAAAAAATTTGTCGATCAAACAAACAAAAACAGAAATTCAGCTTTTTTGTATATGATAAACATCGCCATGGTACAAAGTGCCAAACGAGGTTTTTTAAACAAAATGCCATCGGAGTATTACTTCCACGCGTTTATAATTCACCACGAGGATTAGTTAATAAAAGATAGAATTTAAAAAAAGATAGAATTTAAGGTTTAAAAAAAGAATTTTTTCAAATTTTTCATACATCTCTTTAATCCTTGACTTTTGGATTTAGATTTATTACAATGATAGTAACATTATCATATTACTTTTGTTAGATTATTACATTGTTTGATATTTTTTTCAGATTTTGTAACTTTCAAAAAGTCAAACTTCATGTCAGGTAGCATTTGTTCTTTATTTTCTCTTTAGTTAATTTTTTTTGAAATAGTTTATTGACCTCTTTTTAAATTTTTAGAAGCTTTAGATGATGACTTAATGTTTAGTAAGTCGCTTATATTTTATTTTTATTTGTTCAGTAATTCGATTTTAGTCGTCTTTATTTGTTCATTAAGTTGCCAATTTCGTTTTTATTTAATTGTTAAGTTTTTTGTTTATTTGCTTTCCATATACTTTACTCTTTGCTTTTAGTTAAACTACTTTTTTTTAAAGTATTTAAAATTTTAGAATTTTTTCTATCCTTTTAATAGCCCTTTAAATCTACAAAAAACCTATTTTATATTTGTTGTGCCATTGATACCAATTTCTGTTTCTTTAACTTAATTATTTATTTTTAATCTGTTTTTTTTTTAAGCAGATACACAACAACAGCCACATTCTGGTAAGAAAGGAATCGTTTGTTTTAATTTATTTATATGTTTTTTTTAAAAGTTCCTGATGATTTGTCTTTTTCTTATTCTTTACTAATGTATTTTTTTAAATCTGTATTTATATTTTTACTAGAACCGCAACAACAACCACAATGAAGTAAGATTTTTTTTTCAATGTATTTAAAGTCTCTTTTAAAAAATTTTGAAGAATAATTTCTATTAAAAAAAATATTATGTGTTTATTTTTAATACTACAAATTTTTTTTATTTGCAGTGCAAGAACTAGCTGGTAAGAAATTAATTTCTTACGTTTTTAAATAATCTCTTTTATAAAAAACTATTTTTATTTGTTGTGCTGTTGATATCAACTTGTTTTTCTTGAACTTAATTATTTCTTTTATCTCTTTTTATATTTTAACTAGAAACGCAACAACTACAACCTTGACATATTTTAAACCATGATTTAATTAATATTTTATAACGTTAAAATGTAACTTTTACTTTTTTATAATAACATAAATTTTTTTCTGAACTGTTATTTAAATTGTAAAGAGGGTCATTTCGAGGAGGAGGGGGAGCTTAGGGGGTGTCTAGCCCCCCTTACAAATTTTATTAGTCGGCACATCGGAAACTGGAGTGGGCAAAATTGAAACTAATAATTGGCAGTCGGCAAATGTCGGATAACAAGGACCTTTTTCTTTGGAATAGTTAGTTGACAAAAATTTTTTTTGGCTATAATTTGCTTAAAAATTAATACGTAACCCATCCCTTAATTAAAATCTCTTTGGGACGGCCCTGATTGTAAAAACAATTTATAAGATAAAAATCTAAAAATACTTGTATATATATATATATACGATTTATATATGTATATGTGCATGGGCGCGTGTATGTATATGTGTGCACATAAGTATGTCTGTATGTATGTTTGTATATTTTCAACCAACTGGTTTGCTAGAAGACTTTATACAACCAACCTAATTTCCCAAAAACTATATTTCCTCAAAGTTGTACAAAAGAACAGATGAAAAAGAATTTCTATTCGCACTGAATATGTTATATTCATCACATGAAGGTCTTTCTTCAATAAAGAATAAAATAAACACTATATTGGCCAAGTAATGAATCTAATGAAGAATATTATTTTCAATAAATAGTTGGTTTGGTAGACCAGTCGTTAATAAAAATGTTTTAATGAAAAATCTTATTATGAGCAAATAGACTGAAAAATTTGCAATATTGAAAAAATGTATTTTAGTACCAAAAAACTTCTTGGCTATCGCTTTCAATATCAAAAATCCAGCTATTTATTCACGACCTTCAACTTATTAATGATAAATGGCAATAAATTAAAAATATTACAATAGAGGCAAATATTACAATAGAGGCACAATATTGACGCAAACAAAACAAAGTCTTGGCTCTAATTTCAGCGGTTCTATGTGACAAGACCTCATGATCTTTTTTGAGTATCTGCAATCTTTAGCTTAACTTTTAATAACGCTTTTATTTTTACTAACACACAGACAAACACATATACATATTATTGCTCTATTTTTAAGAGTACACTAACATAATTTAAATTGGCGTGAGTAAATGAGCGCGAGAGCACTCTATTTGTAAAGTACACCAATATAATTTAAATCAGCGGGAGTAAATAAAAAAGGCAAGCCAGTGGAGCTGTTACATTAAACAGCTTTTTAAAAGAGCTTTCGGTTTAGGGGCGAGTTATCTGTTTATTCGTTAAATAAGTTGCTTATTAAATACAAAACTACGAAATTAAATTTTTTTCTTAATTAAAACAATTTATTTTTTCACAAAAACCTTTTTTTAAAAAATATTTTAATTTAAGAAACCAACCAGTTATTCCAATCTTATCAAAACATTGCATTTAAACAGACGCTTTTTTTTTTAAATTTAATAACCGTGCTTTAATAAAGCATGAAAACTTATTATGAAATTATTATTTTTAAAAGGACTTTTTCATCATAGCTACAACGATAGTGCTTTACTTTAATGAACAATTTTGGTAACTTGAAAATTTTGTCATTAATGCTATAATGGTATTATACAATTAAATAAATAAACATTTGCATTTTGTCAATCACTAAAATTTTGTCGTTTTTGTTTTTGAAGTTTGCATAAGTTTTTTTAATTTATTCAATATTTAAAAAAATCAATATTATACTGATTTTTTGAAATTTTAAAAAAATCAATATTTAAAAAAAGAAAAGAAAAAAAAAAGTAGTTTATATTTTTAAAGAAACTATATTTTTATTTACGAGAGCCGTAAGTTGCTCCCGGAAACCACTTTAGCGGAGTGTGGTTGAGAGCAATAGTTAAAAGCCCTTGTTTCTCACCGAGGCCTATATATATATATATATATATATATATATATATATATATATATATATATATATATATATATATATATATATATCGTTAGTTTAATTATGTGATAATAATCATTTCTTTTTTAATTTAAGAGTAATCAATATAAAGTATATAGTCAATATAATAATCAATATAATCACAAAATAGATCAATCAATAAATAAAAGAGATGAGAAAAACAATCAATCAATAAATAAATCAATCAATAAATAAAAAGATGAGAAAAACAACTGTGGCAAAAACGGCCTAACACTCTAAGACCGTTAAAAAGTTGCTTCTCATCTAACATTTTATTTATTTATTGATCTATTTTGTGTTTATTTCACGTTAAATTGATCACTCTCAAATCGAGTAGAGTTGATTATTATCACACAATCAAACTAACGATATTTTTGCTCCATACGTTGAGAACTCTACTCAAGTCGCATATGTAATGGAAAAATTAAACTTTCGATATTTAGTCAAGAACATTCCGATACCATCAGTTAAAGACTTCAAAATACATTTATTGGATAAAAGGGAAAAATTAATAAAAAGAATGCGACGGAAAAGGATTTTCTTTTTTTCAATTAGTAAGAGCAATTTATATTATAACTACTATTAAAAAAATATAATAATCCAAAACAAATTACAGAAATTATAGCTTTCGAGAATCAACTCTTCGATCAAGTAAAACACAATAAGTTTCGAAAGATATATAGCAGTTTTCAAAATAAACTTAAACAAGATATAAATAATATTCGAAAATCTAATATAACTTATGCGTATGTTAATAGAACATCCGATCTTTACAAATTATCTAAAAATGATTATAAACACTTATTAAGAAATGCCATCTCTGAAAATTACAAATTATCTAATTCAAACTAAAAAAATAAAGTAAACATAGAAGTTAAATTTCTTTTGAAAAATCATAAAGTTTTCAATAAAATTGACATTAATACAGCTTTCAATTATTTTATTACTTTAAAAAGACCATAAGATAAAAAGACCATAAAGATAATTATGACAACAGTTCAACTATCCGTTTATTGAATTCTGCTAAAAATGAGGTTGGTAAAATTAGTAAAGATGTTTTTTCTAAAATTAATACAGACCTAAGAAATATATTACACTTAAATCAATGAAAAAACACTTAAAATGTTATCGATTGATTTAAGGCCATAAGAGATATTCAATTAGAAAAACACTTTTAAAAAACTCTATCGATTTTGCGGAGTAACATCTAACACTAAATAAAGAGAATATGTCATTAATTTTTCATGCAAGAAAGTTTTTGTTTTTCAATAATGATTAGGTTGGTAGATTGATGTGGAAATATACCGTGACGATGGATTGGCAGTTTTTAGTAATAAAAGCGGCTCTTAAAAAATGGAAATAATAAAAAAGCAAATTAACGAAATATTTAAAATGCAATGGCTTACGGATTTCTATACAATGCAACATGAAAATTGTCAACTTCCTCGACATTAGTCTAAATCTTAGTGACTGCACTTTTAAACCTTATTTCAAACCTGATAATAAATTTAACTATATCTATGCTGATTTAAATCACCCGCCAAGTATACTTTAACAAATACCAGTCTCGGTTGTAGAATGTCTACAAGTTCTTAGAAGAAATATTTCAACATACTGTTCCTCTATATAAAGAAGCTTTATTAATATCTGGTTATAAATGTAGTCTTACCTATCTAACAATCCTAAAGCAATACCAACTCAAAAACAGAACAGAGCACGCAACATCATTTGGTTTAATCCTCCATTTAGCAAAAACGTTAGCACAAACGTGGCAAAATGTTTTATGAAATTAATTGACAAAAATCATCCTAATAATAACAAAATGCATAAAATCTTCAACAGGAACACAGTCAAAGTTATCTACAGTTGTATGCCAAGTGTAAAATCGATTATAAATTTGCACAACAAATACATTATATGCAACGATACAAACCCTGATTTAAAAAATTTACAAACCTTAATCTAAAAAATTGTAACTGTTTTAATAAAAACCTCTGCCCATTGTTCAATAAACGTTTAACAAGCAACATTGTATATCAAGCAACTGAAACAACTGCTAATCGTGATTCATTTCCTAATGAAAAATTCTGCATTGGTATAAGTGAGACTCCGTTTAAATTAAGATACGCCAATCACGTTAAATCTATTAACAACTCTAAATACAAAAATGATTACTGAGCTCTCAAAGCAGGTATGGAATGTGAAAGAAGCTGGTTTAGTTTCTATAGTTAAGTAGAACTCTCCCATGCAATGTAAAGCGTATAATCCAACAATTCTTGTAAATTATGTCTCACCAGTAAAATACGAAACATATATGTAAGTAAGTATATATAAATGTAAAGTATAATAAAATGTAATATAGTAACTATTTTTGTAACATTTAATGATGTAGTTCATTATTATTAATAATTGCATCTGAAACAGAAGGAAGAAAATCTAAAGGCTGCTTTAAGAATTTTATATGTTCTAGATGGCTGTTAAGTAACACAGAAGCATTTTATCAACATTATTTAAAGTCTGTGGCAAAGTGAAAAAACGCTGTTATTAACTTTGTTGTACCAAGTAGCAATTAAGGGAAATATCCAGTTAGTATACTTAAAGGGTATAAATAAATTATGTATGTAAATCTTTGTGATGAGATTAAATATTTATTCTTTGATACAATTTTTAACTTATCTAACTTCAAATTATAATGAGAAAAATGTATTTAACGATGAAAAGAGTTGATTTTTTTTTTATATGAATTATTTATGGTTTTTAGTTTTAACATTTAGTAAAAAAATATATAACACAGGAAATATTTAAAGAGGACTTTATAGGCATTGTAGGTGGTTGCAGATTTGGTCATCATATACTTAATGGACCATTAGCGGCAGCAGCCAAAATTGGATAACACGAGTAACCACAATATCACTTCTTGTAATGTTATCAGCTGACCACTTAAATAATTTACTAAGTAATCAATGAGATAAACTCCATTTAACTGCTCAGAATGCCTTTATAGGTCCACTGCAAATCCACTACAACAATGTTTGCTGATAAAGTTTCAATATGTAGTCATTTGATTGTTGTCGTATATATTCAGGGTTCCCAATCCTCAGAAACCTTAAAAATCCTTGCTAAAAAAAAAAAAATCCTTAAAAGTCCTTAAATATTCTTTAAAATGGTTAAAACTTGAATGCTCTCCTAAATTTACTTTCCTATAAATTTTTGTTTTATTACTTAAAAATTTATTTATAAACAAAATATATATGTATTGGCCATAAAAACTTCTAATATGTATGTAACTCTTTATTTTTTGAGTTAACTTTTATACAATATTTCAAGGGAGTTAACAAGTATATATATATATATATATATATATATATATACATATATAGTATATATATATATAGTATATATGTACATATATAGTATATATAAGTATGTAAAAGTATAAATAGCTTATTTTATGCTTATATATATTTTATGCTTATATATATATATATATATATATATATATATATATATATATATATATATATATATATATATATATATATATATATATATATATATATATATATATATATATATATATATATATAGTATATATGTATGTTATAGTATAAATAGTTTATTTTATGCTTATATATGTTTAAAATATGCTTAATGAATTTTTATAAGTAACAATTTTTTTAATTCATTCAGATCCTTCGAATCAGATAGTTTGTGATTCAAAATTATGCTTTGGTAAAGTCAATAATAAATCATTAAGTTTAGCAAAGATTTATGTAAGTAATATTTTTTCTTGTGATAATTATGTTGGAAGTTGTTTTAATTATTTAGGTTTATTTTCTTTATAAACATATTTGTTTAATACTCCACAATACTCAAAATAGCTACCTAGTCAGTTCAGCAAGAAAAAAAGATTATTTAAGTTTTCCCTTTTAAAGGACGTGGGTATAAAAGTTTAAAGTTATGATACTTAAAGTTATAATATATATATATATATATATATATATATATATATATATATATATATATATATATATATATATATATATATATATATATATATATATATATATATATATGATTAAACAAACTATAATAGCATACGTTTATTTTTTATTTTTTAATCAACTATTATATAAGCTCAATTATTTACTTAAAAAACGTTTAAAGTTGAAAATAGTTTTTATCTTTACTATTGTCATTTTACCTTTGAGTATCTTGAACCAATCGCTTTTTAATAAAAATGTTGCAAAAAAAGTGGTATATTTTTTATAATGGTTTAATGTTTAGTTTTCTTTAGAAGGGTAAATTACTATCATAAATTACTTAACAAATTTTGATTTGTAAATATACATACACAATATTATCGAATTGATCAAAACACTAATGAATTATATATGAGCAATATAACTTATACTAAATTGCCTCATTTCACTTATACTTGTGTTATCTTTTGAATTTAGAAATAGAAGTAATTAAATGTTGGTGGTATAACTTTATAAAGTGTATTATAAATGTTCTTTTTATTCCTTTCTTTTTAATTTTTACATACTTATCTTTACATGATTCCTACAGCAAAAAAGAACTTTAAAATGCTGTTGGCATTAATCTAAAGCTCACACCTGATCTAAAAGAAGGCGAATGACGTCAAGTGTTCGAGCAGTCGATTTGGCGTCATTTGGCGTTTCTATTTAGTTCTGAACTAGTTCTGAACGTCCTAAATTTACATCTTTTAGACGTCTGAAAAACACGTCTTTATTTTATCTCTAAAAGACGTCTTTTCGACGTCATATGGGCGTTGTCGTGTCCACTGGGTACCACTTGAAATGCATAATTTTTCTCTAAAACCTTTAGAGAAAATTTGTCTTTTAAGTGGAAATTATTTTTCATAATTTTTCTGCTTTTAGTAAAAGTCGAAAAATTTGGAAGCTAAGAGTTAATTATAGACGTTCTATAGCGTTGTTAAAAACCAAACAGAAAAAACAATTTATGAATTAGTTTAAACTGAAACTAATACTTTTTTGAAACTACTGCTACTTTTTTGAAACTGTTATTTTAATAGCAATAACTAAAAGAAAAGATTTATCAAAATATATTGTTACTGTACTTAAAATTACTTTAAATCGCTTATACAATATTATCGAAGAACTTACAGGACTTTTCAGCTGCTTCATTAGCCCACAATATAATACTAAAAACAAATTTCTTTTATCTTTTCTAAACAATTTATTACATAGTTTAAAATTCATAAGAATTTATAATTTTTAATCATAATGAACGATTCAAAATGTCCAACACATTCTGTGCGAAACTAATGTAATCAAGTTAGTTCCGTACGGAAAATGTTTGATTTAACTTTTTAACGCAAATTAAATATTCAGAACACGTAGAAAATATATTCCTAAACGTTTAGATTGACGTAAATGCCTTTAAAACGTGATCTAAACCAATTTTAAACCAACAAATGCCCGTTGGGTATTTAAATTAGAACATAACATTTTGAATTATAACATGGTTTCATTATCATAAAGCTAGTACTTGAAATAAAGATTATCCAAATTTAATTTTTGCTTTCAGGAAACGATCAACATTCAGAGCATATTTTAGATTCTGCTCTGTAGGAACTTAAAAAATTTGTATAAGAGTAGTTTTTCGACATAAAAATAGAACAAAATTATAATTGAAAACACTTTTTACAATCTAACTTGTTGTTCTTTATTTATGTACTTTACTTATTTAAAAACTCAAAAATGTGACTTAATAGATAACAAATTAGTGACTTTTTTATTTCATTTTTGTCAAAGTTTGCGCAAGATTATTTGCAAATAAACTTAATTTGAAAAAACAACGCTAAAAGTAAACAATCATAAAAAGATAAATCTTTTTTTTTATTTTACATATGAATCATTGGCTTTAAGTGAAAGATAATATGTAGTCAGTTTCAGTAATGAAAAAACCCAATAACCATTTTTAAGTGAAGGTAAGCAAAGTTATTTATAACGACAAAAAATCACAACATTAACATCTAAAGTTAACAGATAGAAAAACATATTACAGTAAGTGACAAAGAAACTAGCTTGTTAGAGTTATAGGAGATTTTATTTTATAAATAAAGGCTCGATTTGAATTTTAAAATTAGTTATAAAGAACTTATTGTTGATATATTAACAACTAAAAGTATTCACATAAATACACTGCATATTGAACAATAATATAATTTTATATAATGCATAATTAATAATATACAGTTATGTTATTTATTACCAAGATTAATAATTTATTATCAAGTTGTAAAAAAATATTTCGTTCAGTTAAAGCACTAACGCAGTTATTAAATGCTATTATTAAAAATCATTTAAAACTCATCAGTGTAAACTGTAACGGTAATATATCTGTTATCACATTATATGTGATAATAGCTAACAAAAATAAAAAAATCCCAAAGGTAAAGATATCTATACTTCTGGTTAATAAATCTATCTATACTTCTGGTTAATATATTTTTGTTGTTGTAGCTACATATCAGTGCAAACTGTACTTAAAGTTTCCAATAATATGTTGATAAACGTGTTAATGCTTTAACCTAGCAATATTTATGATTTTACTAAAGTATTAATAAATATACCAACATATCAATGAAAACTGAATAGAGATATATTAAGGTATTTATAACACCATTACAATTTTTATATATATGTAATGGAGGTATATCTACGTCGACATATCTCTTTTACAGTTCGCAGTGATATGTATATGTTATAATACTTTAGTAAAACACTAAATATTGTTTGGCTAAAGCATTATCAACATATCAGTGGAAACTGTAAGTACAGTTTGCACTGATATCTTGATATATGTGATAATGCTCTAGCCAAACAAAAATTATTGGTCTGCTAAAGTATTATTACATATACCAACATATACAAAAGATGTATATATTTTGACATATAAATATGTGATAATAGATATATCTCCAGTACTGGAGATACATCTATCATCATATACATTATTGTGATAATAAATATATCTCTAGTACTGTTTGCTAGAAAAAAAGTGTGATTAATAAACTTCTGTGACAAAGTAGTTTAAAAGTTTTGTACATAAAGTATTTACAAAAATAATATTGCAATTTTAAGAACTGATGCAGATTTTAGGTCAAATGCTTACCCATAACAAAAATAAAGGAACAGCATATGACTGTTTATAAATAATATAGATATGGTTCCTTTTTCTGCCATTAAGCCTATGCGGATTTTTTTTCTTAAAGTGTGTCATCAATATGTTTAAGCTATGTGAAATACACATTGAAAAATCATACCAGCTTTGCTCAAAAGAGAGTGATTTCAAACCAAGTGCTGGAAATTAATCAGTCCACTGCTTCTGACTAAGTAGAAGTCCAAGAGGTCTTTTCTGAACTTTAACATAAGAAGGCAACAGAGTTTCGTCAGTTTATCTTATGATGAAAAAAAAAAAATGTGTATGAGAAAGTTTTACACAATTAAGTTAAAAATCTGCTTATTGCATATGCTGCAACTATAACAATTTCAAATAAAGAGAATGAAAATAACAGATATTAATTGTTGACAATTCCACTGTCTTTTTCCGACTTGTATCCATAATTCATTCAAGATCTGTAACTTTTAATATTAATAAATTGTTTTATATTGTTAATGGTTTAAAAATTATAGTTGTTCTGTAAATGATACATCTGCAAATAAATTTGAAAACTTACAAAATAAAAAAGCAAAAAAATAAGAAATACAAAATATAATGTAGGTAAATGATTCAATGGAAGGTCTACTAAAATATAAAATGTATATTTAGCAAAATTATAATTTTCAAATTTAAATTTTTCTAATTGCCATAAGAAATTTATTTTATTTATGTTAAGGTTGTTAAATATATATATATATATATATATATATATATATATATATATATATATATATATATATATATATATATATATATATCTATATGTATATGTATATATATATATATATATATATATGTATACATAAAAGCTACTTCAAACAAATATTTTGTTAACAATCAAATACTTGAATATATATATATATATATATATATATATATATATATATATATATATATATATATATATATGTATACATACACATATATATATATATATATATATATATATATATATATATATATATATATATATATATATATATATATATATATATATATATATATATACATATATATATCGTTTTATGTAGTGTTGTATTAAAATAATTCAGAACTCTTGTTCGTTGAAAAGTACTCAATATTTAAGAAATTTATTTTGATTATATATAAATTTCATAACAGAGCGGTTTATAATTAAAAACGAAAAAAGAAAAAACTTTTATTATGGAACTTTAAGTTTCATGCCTAACGGCAATCATCAGCCATATATTACAAAATTTAAAATAGACGTTAAAACTACAATTAAAATTACGGTGGCGTGAGTTCTAATGACTCCATGGAAACAAAACTTTAAGTTTTAAGAGTATCACGTGGCGTGATATGATATGTATATATATATATATATATATATATATATATATATATATATATATATATATATTTATATATATATATATATATATATATATATATATATATATATATATATATATATATATATATATATATATATATATATATACATATATATATATATATATTATTAAAGCTACTTTAAACAAATATTTTGTTAACAATCAAAAACTTGAAATTTTTATATTGTTATTAATCTTTACTTTTACATATATGCTGTTAAACAAAATAAAAAATGCTTTGCTTTTAGTTTTGGTAAAGATGACGATGAAGGCAAATGAGCGACAAAGAATACAGAAAGGTAAAACTAACTTAATTGAAACTTTAAACACTTTTATGGATGTGGTATGTCTCACTTTAAACAGGCTGCATGCATTCATATTTAAGTAAGAACTATACCTTTACTTAAATTAATTTCTCTTTTTTCTGACATAGGTTTCTTAACTTTTGAAGAGCTACCAAAAAACATTTTTGTTTTTCTTCGAAATCGTCCTTCTTTATGATGTACCACCAAAAGCGACAGCAGTCAAATCTTTCAATAAATTAGGTTTTAATTGTTTGTCTATTAATGTAATTTTTGAATACGATGTTGTATCGTGTATTTTTAAATTTACAAATAGTAATTGTAAGAAATTGAAAGAAATAATACGGTATTTATATAATAATACGGTAATTAAACAAGGTAATTAAATCCTCTACTAGCATACATTAGTATACTAGTAGAGATTTTTAGTGCAATTTTTAAAATATAAAATGAACATAACATGCATTTTTATGTAAAAACTATATAAAAACTGTAATATAGACGTGTATATGGAACAATAAACAAGTTGATTTAATAAGATTTTTGTTATTATTTTTAAAGCTAATGCGTGAGCGCGTTTGTATATACATGTAATAAATACACGTTTCAGACGCGTGTTTTGTGTCCGATAATCTACACGTCTAAAACGTATTTCTGGTTAGTGTTCTACTCGGTAAGATGGATAACATACATACGTAAATAAGACGTATTCTGAAAAGTTTTAAATGCGCAAGTAATATCAAGAAAACACCGTATTTAATAATATCTAGTTACTGTATTTTATGCGATTTACAAGCGTTTTAAATGCGAGTTTGATATTCAGTAGGATTCAACTTGCATACTCGTTTTTAAACGCATATGAAGCGTATTTCAAATGCCAATTTGACACGATAAAATGGCTATTATACATACCAAAATGATGGGTATTCAAACAGGTTTTATATGCGCATTTACAATTTAATGTGTCGGCTGGGAGGTTTCCGATTCTACATTATCATCAAAAATAGAAGTCCAAGTAAGGATCAACTGTTGTTTGCTTATCAAGCTGGTAGGCAAAAAAGAGTTCTAAATATATGTTAATGAAATGGTGTTTTTAAATGCAACTTACAAGACCACTAGTTTAATTGTCTTAGTTGTTGAAATGAATGTCAATTTCAAACAGTTGCAACATTTGTATCTCAAAGTTAAATTTTAGATACAATAAAAAAAGCACGTAATGTCATCAAATCTTGGAATCTTGATTTTCAAATCTTATACTGCATGATTAATGAGATACATGCTTGGGAGTCTGTTTTTCTTGGTGTGTTTTTGCAAAATCTACATTTATTTAACTCAATTTTAAGTTAACGGCTTCTTTATAGGATTCATCTTTAATATTTCATGCAAATTAAGTTCATAAGCATTATAAATAAAACTGAGTTCTCTTATTAGAGTGTAGAGTATTCATCTGCTTTTTTTTATAGAGAAAATCGTTGGATAAAAAAGACTTCCAATGGTTGTTTAAGTAAAAAGGAAGAAATTTTAAAATTGTTGAGATATATAACCAGGTCAAGATTTTGAGAAGAATTAGTAGATGCCATATAAGCGTTAGAGATTACTGACTTTTGGCTTCAAGATTTTTTGTAAATTAAAACATTATGTTGAAATGTATTTGATGCCTATAAAAAAGGTAGCTATTAATAAACACGAGTTTAAATAATTGAACTTTTATTTGAGAATGCATTTAGTGGCAAAATTTTGGTTTGGTTTGCCTCATTTTAAAGTAAGTTAAGTAAAAGTAGAAATTCTTTCTAATAATTTAGAGATGGATCTGGTGGTATAAACATATTCGTCATCTAACTAATTGCAACACAAACAATGGTGTTGAAAGACAAAATGAGTCGTTTTAAGTACTCCTATTTAAAGAAATACAACAACTTCCCTTTGGCAGGCATGTCAACTTTATTAAGAAGTTAAATTATATTTCATTATGTATATGAAACATATTTTTTTAAATTTATCTATTTTTTTTTCAATAATTTTTTCGGATAAAACCTTCTTTGAAAAATAATTAATTTTAGAATATTATTATTTTTTTTTGAATTTAATTTTTAGCATAATTTTTGCAATAATCACTGGTTTAATATTTGCAATAGAAAGTTTTTACTTTTAAAAGTATTTTTAAGAAACAAACAATAATTAACTATTCAAAATACATACGATTTAAATAAAACTTTATATATATAACTTATATATGGGCTATAAGCTAAAATTTTTTTTTTAAAAAAGCTAAAGTACTATAAATTATAACAAACTTAAAAAGTTTAGATGCAGATAAATATGCAGTATTGCATGAAAAAACTTTCAGTCTTTTAAAGACGCTTTCACCTTTGAAAGATCCCTTCTATTTATTCTGGTGCTTATGTTAGGAAGATGCTTAACACAATTAAGAGCTTATCATTAGAATGCGAGGCAAGTTCTGATACAATTGTGATTTTACACAAAACTCTTTCTACTCTAAATAGACAAACTAAACAAAGGAAAAGATTTTTATCACTTAAACCAATTCCGGGATTCGTTTCACTTAAACAAATAACAAATTAGCCAAAAAAAAAAATTCTATGTCATACAGAAATCAATAAAAACTTAAACTAAGCGTGTTGAACTATAGAAAGAAAAAACATTAAACGCGACATAAGCATTTATAACAGAAGAGAGGTACTTTGTTGACTCGATCGAACAAAAAACTGTTGATGAGCCTGCATACGAAGAAAGATTTTTTATTAACCGGGAGAGTAATTCCATACAAAAATGATTATTATTTAAAATAAAAACTGGATTTTCGTCCTAAAACAAAACTTTCCTCGAATGATATGAACGATACTACAGCCCATCAAATGTTGTCAGACAATGTCATACACTCAGTACAATAAATGATAACTGGTGTTATTGGTCTGCAGAATCCAGTTTTATGGCAAAATTTGTCATTTTCTGGGGTGAAGGACTCCTTTGTACAGGTATTACATGATGTACACTGTACATTGGTATGCAGGAATAGATACAATAAAAGAATGAGACTTTGATAAATGATGAATCGTGCGAAAATAAGATTTGGTTGATGGTACAGTTTGAGTATAAATTTTGGTGCTTATATTAAGTATTTATTATTGCTTATATTTCATTGATTATTTATACTTTTATTAAATTTAACTGAAGGAACATAATAATGTTCCTTTTTAATTAGTTGGGTTTGTCAATGTCTTAATAATTTGCCTACAGTTGAAACATGGTTTTAATATAGTAAAATTATGTTGTAAAATTTACTGTAATAACATCAGATTACAGTTTAAGAGGAATTGGAATTTTAAAATTAAGGAAAAACAATATTGTTTACTGGTATTAACATTAGTAACCAGTGGTAATTACAAAACCAGTATTTATGGTTGATTGTGTTTCAGCTATGTAGCACTGTAACTTTTATGACAATAACAAAAACCAAATTTTGCTTTTGTTATTATCATTATAATAGTAGGTTTCTTTATAATCGTAAGTCTTAATTGTAAGTCTTTTAAGCATATATGATATTTCGTTATTAAAAAAATTACTTCTTTTATTTCATGACATAACATTTCAAATTGCTAAACTCCAATTGTCCCTTTAGTTTTAATAAATGAAATCTTTTAAGTTCAAGTATTTTGTTAAATATGTTTTGCGTTATTTTGCAATTTTTTAAAACGCTTGCATGTTTAAGGTTTATTACTTCTAAAATTTATATATATATATATATATATATATATATATATATATATATATATATATATATATATATATATATATAAATATATATATATATATATATGTATATGTATATGTATATATATATATATATATATATATATATATATATATATATATATATATATGTATATGTATATGTATATGTATATGTATATATATATATATATATATATATATATATATATATATATATATATATATATATATATATATATATATATATATATATATATATATGTATATGTATATGTATATATATATATATATATATTTATATGCATTTATAAAATTTTTAGGTTCATCTACGTTGCTATTTATCATTAAAAAGAGCTTCATTTAAATATTCCAAAAGTGAAAAAATTATGAAAATCGAAACATACCAAAAAAGTCATGACGCTTAAAGTGTCGATTTTTTTATATCAGAATTTATTGAAAAAACTGTGATCCAAATTAAGTTTTTAAAAACTAAACTATTATAACTTAATCAATTTTTATATAAAAGTTTAAACCTTGTTATAAAAAAATAGATTTTAGATTTAGCAACAAATTTATGAAGGATTCTAGATTACGGGCACATCCAGAGAGAAAAAGGGGAAGGGGATCGGAGGGGGCACAAAACCACTATCCTTACCGGCATTAAAGACAAACTATATATATAAAAGTGTTTTTTTAATGTAAATGCTAATTTTTATATGCAAGATGTTTTGGTAAATAGCTATCAGACCACAGCCAAATATAAAAAATTCATTATTTAGATAATAAATTTATAATTTAGACTTAGGGTGGATGAAAGGGTGATGGTTTCAAACCCCCTTTTATCAAAAGTGACTCTTTTTTTTATAAATATTTATCTTCATAAATAATAGGAAATCTAAATAAGATTTTACCAAGGATGATTTTAGTAGTCATCATAGTCTTATTAATAAAACACTTATTTAACGACGTTATTTCAAAAATTTATTTTAATCACGTAGGAAAAAAGATTTAGTTTCTCAAAACCCAACATTTGTATCTACATTACACACACAAACACACACACACACACACAAACACATATGTAAGTACACACACACACACACAAACACACACACACACACAAACACACACACACACAAACACATATGTAAGTAAATATATTGCGTTCAAGAATAATCCGTTAAGTCGACATTATACTCTCAAAGTTTTAAGCTATTAGTTAAACAAAATTGTATTTATATTAAAAAAAATTGTATTTATATTAAACTTTGCACTCGGTATTGAATTTAAGATTATCGTCTAATATTAGTGCGATAGCTTACAGTATTAATATCAAGATCACGCGATACTTAAAATTATTGATAATGAAGGTATCGATTATCATTGGTTGTCGAAGGTCAGGACTTCACTAGAGTTCATATTTTATTTTTATAAACAATTAGTAAATTAAAATGTAGAGATGTAAGGGAGAGTGGGGAAAAGTTGAATATTAAAAAATAATTCTATGATAATTTAAATACTTTATTTACATATTTGTATGTACTGCACCAAATAAGTCTTCAGTTTAAACAAGATTTAAATTTTATAATGAAAGTATCTTTTTGGTTACTGATTCCAATTATATAAGAAAGTGTTTTTCAAAGAGGGCTTTCTAGAATTTTTATGATACAATTCACAAGATTCTACCATAACATTGTCCATAACAACTAAAAACCACATTATCTTCTTTATGAAATAAGAATTGCAAAAAAGGATTCTTTGACTTTGT